CGTTTGGGATTGCATAACTAAGTCCAGAGTCTGGGTAGGGAAGAAGGAGCCCTGGGGCCTTGATGGTGGTGCTGGAGAGGACTGGTCCTCTTCTTTGGGGGCTAAGCCCCCCCAATCCCCTCTGTACTCACACCAGCTACCCAGACGGTATTTGTAGGCCTTCTAGCCTCTCGCTTTGGTGTCAGAGCTGAAATGACAGGGCTGGAGGGAAGTGGACAGCTGAGCAACACAGCTGACACTGGGAAATTGGACCCGGGGAGGCCTGGGGCAGGGCTGGATCTAACTCCTCCCATCTCCCCAGAGCTGCTGTTCCCTGAGTCTTCATCTATGGTGAGAGGTCAGCACTGGCCAAACTCAGGGAGGAAAAACTTCTGTTTGCACTGCATACTCATTCGAGGGGATTTTCGGTGACTGAATGTCAAGTCAACATGACTTATCAACAGATACCCCCATCTTTCCCCGAGGTCCAAACACTCCTGTCTACCATCCTTGGATCCATTTTAGGAACTAATCTTCTCAGCTGCCATCTTCTCATTGCAATGTTTGTAGACCCTCAAGCACTGCTCTAGCTTCAACTTTTTTTTTTTTTTGAGAGGTTTTTGCTATGGGGCGTATGCGCTCGCCAGACAGAGACAGAAAGCGAGAAATCACCCCCCAGAGAGGATGGCCACACCGCAATCCCTTCTCCTCCACTCTCCTCTTGGGATCTTGGGCATGCATGCACATGCGCCTGGCGTGAGTTTAAGCCACCAGGTCCGGGACGCGAACCGCAGTCGACTATGTGGGAGTACAGCGACATAGCCATTACTCTAACTGCTGGCCCCTCTAGCCTCAACTCTTTAGGCTGGGAAAGCTAGACCTGTGAGGAAATAACTCAGACTCTTGGGACTACAATAGACTTTTTTCTTCTTTTTTGAAATCACCCCTCTGGGGTGGGGGTGTGTGGCCATGCACAATCCCTTCTGCTCCATTCTCCTCGGGATTTTGGGCACACATGCCTGGTGAATTTCAAGCTGCCAGGTCCAAGACTTGAACTGCAGTTGTCCATGTGGGAGTCCAGTGCCTTAACCACTACATCGCCTGCTGGCCCACTAGACTACTTTTTAAAAAAGAATTAATTTTATTTATTCATTCACTTATTATTATTTTTTGACTAGAGAAAGACAGACACACACAGAGAGAAGTGAGAAATCAAGCCACCAGGTCTGGGACTCGAACTGTTCTCGGCCATGTGGGAGTGTCCAGCGCCTCAACCACCATGCCACCTGCTGGCCCCTAGACTACTTTCTTAACTGTGGTAATTGGAGGGGTGCTACCTGGTTAGAGGTAAAGAATATGCGGTACTACTATACCCTCCAGCAGCCCCCAGGGACATCTCTCCCCCATTCATCTAAAATCTTCTCAGGGTGAAGGAAAGTATACTAGCTACTAGACAGACAGGCTGGGACCTCCATCTGAGGGGCTCTGGGGACTGAGGGTCTTACGGTCAAGTAGAGGTGGCCCAGATAATATTGAACAGAAGGCTATAGCTATCAAATCAGGTTTTTTTTTTTTTTTTTAATCATCAGTATTATCTTCCCCAGAAAAACTTAATTTTCACCAGGGATGACACTATATCACATCTTTTTTTTTTTTTTTTAAAGATTTTTGTCACAGGTGCGGGTGCTCACAAGACACAGGGAAAGTAAGAAATCCCCTCCCCCCTTGTTCTCCATTCTCCTTTCAGGATTTTGGGCACACACATATGCCCAGTGTGATTTTTCAAGCTACCAGGTCTGGACTTGAACTGTGGTAGGCCATGTGGGGAATCCAGCACCCTAACCACAATGCCACCTGCTGATCCCTCTATTTATTTATTTATTTTCTTGGAGAGGTTTTTGCTAAAGGGCGTGTGCATGTGCGTTAACCAGAAAGAGAGACAGAAAGCAGGGAGATGGCCATGCTGCAATCCCTTCTCCTCCATTCTCCTCTTGGGATCTTGGGCATGCACGTACATGTGCCCAGTGCGAGTTTAAGCCATTGGCTCTGGGACTCGAACCACGGTTGACTACATGGGAGTCCAGCAACATAGCCATTATGGTAACTGCTGGTCCCAATCCCTCCGACTTTCAAGACAGTGTCTTGCTGTATTGTCCAGGCCAGTCTTGAGCTCTAATCCTCCTAGATCACAGGTTCACACCATTGTACCAGGCCTTCAGGTTGGAATGCAAATTGAATCTAGGCCTCCCATGTGGTCCCAGCCTGCAGAGAAGTGTCTTAGCAATGTGAGACACTGCATGAGAACTACAAACTTAGAAAGGCAGAAGGCCCAAGCCACCCATTTTAGAAATCATTATGATTCCATCGCCCACCTCTGATATGCTAGCACATGAACTGATGGACCAAAGATACAGCTGGCTTTCTTATCTCAAGGATGTAGCCTTTTCCCACTCTGTGGGTTGTGATGCAGCTGAAACAGGAGCTACTCCCACCTCAGAGGAGAGCAATTTAGAAGTGGTAATGTCTGCTGCTTTATCCTTTGTATCTGCAAGAAATAAGGAACTATGTTGGAGGCTGGGTCAGACAAGTTCCCGGGAGCATGGTGAGATATAGCTACCCAGACCCAGGAGAGTTCCAGGGCAGTGTGCTGTCATCTTCCCCCACTGCTCTTTTCTTTAAGGGGCAGGTGAGATGAAACAGAGGTGCTGGATGGTTCTGAGTCTATAAACTCTTTAACGGCCCTGCTCCGACAGGCTACAGAATAACAGGGATAAGCCTGAGAAGCCTCGGACAGAGGAATGCTCCATCTTGCAGGTAGGATGACTTCTCCATCTTGCAGGTAGGATGACTTCTGCTCTTCACCTTTCTTCCACTGTGTAGCACAGACACTGCTGAGCACGCCTAGATAATATAGAATCTTGGCACTGCAGGTGGAGTTAATGTAGCTTTTATTATAAAAAGAAATACCCTCTCTGTCCCTGCCAGTTAGAACCGAATGCTCTGGCTTTAGGATTAAAGAAAGGCCCTTCCATCCCTGAAGAGTTTTCAGGAGATTAAATGGACAGGTATGAGGCCCGCATCTCAACCCAGTTCTGGACCTCACTCACTTCTCCCCAGCTCAGCCATGAGGGTCTTAAATGAGTGTCACAGAATTAACAGACTGGAAGGAAACTCAGAGGCCACTCGGTCCAAACCGCTTATTTTACTAAATGACATAGAGATCCAGAGTTGATAAGTGATGTGTTCAGTGAACCACAGTTAGGGGCAGAGTTGGAAGAGCCCCAAACCAAGATTCCATTAAAGACCCAGCCATCTATCAGAACCATGTACAGGGAGGAGGATGAGACGGCGAGAACAGTGTTAGGCAGTATGTGTATATGGGCTAGGGAGAGCCACCCAACCCACCACACCCCTCCAAGAGCTGTAGGGACGCATCCACCAGGGCCTCCAAACCTTACCCACACCAGGGCGGCAACAGAGAAACAGCAACTGATGTCCAGTGACAGTTTTTTTTTTTTTTTTTTTTATATTTAAAAACAAAACCAACCTCCCCCCAAGTAGCCCCCCAAACAAACAAAAAATCAGATTAAATAAAATTTACAGTGAATATACCCAGCAAACATCTGTATGTGCAATTAAATACTGTGTCTGTTACTGCGGCACAAACCTCAAACAAACAATATACAAGTGTTCTGGGGGTGGGGGAGTCCCAAGTTTTAACTCTGTGGGGTTTGGGGAGACCAAATGGGGGAAGTGAGAGAATGAGGAAATCAATTTTTTTTTCTTAATTCTGTCCATATAAATATATTCATAAAGACCAAAAACGGAAAGGGAGCTTGGGATGGTAAGGAAATAGAATAGGGGAGTGTGGGATGCTCCCAATTCTACCTGACCAAAAAATATGAAAGAAATTAATTTCATGGTGAGAGAGGAGATAAAAAAATGACAGAAGAGGTTGGGAAGGAGACGGAAGTAGAGGGGGCCGGCCAGGGAAAAGGAGGGGCCCCGTGGCAGGGGAGTGAGGAGCCCAGTGCCAGTGCGTCTATTCCCATCTCCATTCCTAATACCTTAGGCTCTTTTAGCATGTCTCCTTACTTCCTGCCATGTCCACGCTCTGCGAGGACCCTCCACACCCCCACCCTGCCTGCCCCTACTCTGCTCACTGGGAGCTGGCTCGCTCCAGGATCCTCAGGTCATAGTTCTTTTTGGCCACTCGAAGTTTGAAGCGACTCACGGAGTTGTTGAGGCGAAGGGAGGCATTCTGGGCAGCCAGAGGGCTGGGGAACACAGCCACGATGGTGTACAAGGCAGCGAGGTCCGAGTGGCGGCCGGCCGTTCTCGGCAGTCCCCCCGTTGTCCCCCCCACCCCCGCCAGGCAGCCCCTGAGCATCCTTGAGCCACTGGATCTTGGCGCCGGACATGGCAAGCTGAGTGAAGAGTTTGTCCGCCTCTGTACGGGTGATGCCCTCAGGGAGATCTGTCACCTCCAGCACCCGCCCCAGGACTGAAAGGGGAGGAGAGAGGACATGGTTGTGAGCGGTAGGGCAGGAAGGACTGGAGAGTGGCCTGGGAGTATCCAGCAGATTAGCACTGTAATACAGTGTCCTCAAAAGCCCAGCCTTTGACACTTAGCTCTTTCCTCCCCTCTTCAAATCAACCCAGTTCCCGGCCATGCAGGCTCTAATCAGGGCAACTAAGAGGTTAAAAACAAAACAAAACAACGAACCTTTCTCTTTTCTTATTCCAGAGATCTAGGCAAGAGGGGAA